GCCAACCTCCAACTCCCCTCTGATCCAGGACATGATCATTTCTGTGTTCTATTCTATAGTTCCTCCTTTTTTGAATCCTGTCATCTATACTCTTAGAAACAAGCAGATAAAAGAGGCTCTAGGGCAAGTTATGATAAGAACACTCACTTCTTTCAAGTAAGTATTGTTATTTCAACACATTTGTACTTTGATTGTAAGAGTTAAAAATGTTTCAAAGTTAATGTTCTGTTCATTTACTAGCTCTGGGGAACTGGATTGGATTGTAACTAACAAATATTGTATTAGGTCTAGCAATGAAATAATAGCACACGCTTGATTTTGTTGCCCTATAAAAATACACATTTCTTGATGCCTATGACTTCACTGCTACAAACTTTTATCTTTTTAAAATATCTATTTCCATATGTTCCCTCCTCAAGGGAGCCTTGTTGCTGAATGTGTACCTGCTGGACTGATAACCGAAAGCTCTGTGTCAATCACTCCATAAAAGGAAAAAAACACTTGCCAATCTGCTTCTACAGGCATCACAGCCTTGGACTCCCTCTCTAGTGGCATGGAGACACAATGAACTTGATGGCCGAGAATTCTACAGAATTCAGATAAGCCATATTAGCTTTGCCTCATGTCACTGTACAATAAGACATACTATATAGCACTTGTTACAGTTTACAGTTTATGGAGTCAGTTTTTACTCCAATCTCTTGTGAAATGTAGAACTGCCTCAGAATGCTTGCATATCTGTTAAATTCTCCTGTCTGTAAACATTATTGAAGCAGAATGCCAGGTCTTTGTCCTGCATAGCTGCTGGGTAGGTCCAAACTCGCAAATTTTTTGGTTGGTTGGTTTATTAGTAGTTAAAGGTTTAATTGTTTGAACTACAAGGACTCTTAATCTTATATTTATATTAATAATAAAAATGTACATAATGACATCTAAAAGCTCATCATATGATATGACTTATAATGCTTTTTCTCACAGGAAAGGGGAACATTCTGTTTTTAAGAGAAATTAATGACACCTCTTATCCTCTCCATAGGTTTCAAAAGATAAATTAAAGTTATAAATCATTTTATTGAAAACGTTGTGAGGTTTTCAATGTGAGGTCAAATGGTTTCTTGCTAATGTTGTTAGTGTTAGATGTCATCAAGTCGGCTCCAACCCATAGCGAGCCTGTGCACAACAGAATGAAACCCTGCACAGTCCTGCGCCCTCCTGACAATAATTCCTACGTGTGGTCCCATTGACGCAGCCACAATGTCATTCCATCACATTGAGGGTCTTCCTCTTTTTGCCGTCCTTCCACCTTACCAAACATAATGACGTTCTCCAGGGATTGAGCTCTCCTGAAAATATGTCCACAGTATGTAAGATGAAGTCTTGCCATCCTTGCCTCTAAGTGACATGCTGTGCTACTTCTTCCAGTACACACCAGTTTGTGTTTTAGCAGTACAAGGAAGACCATAGAAGAATCGATGCATTTGAGTTGTGGTGCTGGAGAAGAATGTCGACAGTACTACGAACTGCTAAAGAACAAACAGATTTACCCTTACTCATAGCAACATATCAGAAGAAAACACTGCCAATCCAATCCCATGTTCATGATTACTGTGTTTGAGCCTGTTGTTGCAATCATTGTTTCAATCCATCCTTTTTAGAGTCTTCCTTGCATTTTTCTACTGGTTATCTACTTTATATTCAATATTCTTTGCCAACACCATAACTAAAATGCAATAATTCTTATTTGGCCTTTCTTATGCCTTGTACAGATTTCATATGAACACTGAAAATTATTACAACTAGTGGGTTAGTATTATTTTTAGCAGTGAATTAAACTTTCTCTTCCAAGAAAATAAAATTAAAGTACATTTGCCTCTTTTTTTTGGTGTGCGTGTTTCTTTAATATCTCCTTTATAATAATGATTCTGATGCCTATTCTTGAAATGTTACAAAGGTAAAATAATGAAAAAATATATTTTATATAGTTAGATATATGGTTTTCTCATGTAAGAGGATAAATTATTCTTTTGAAAAATAAATCATTTTATTGGGGGCTCTTACAACTCTTATAACAATCCATACATCAATTGTATCAAGCACATTTGTACAAATGTTGTCATCATCATTTAAAAAATATTTTCTTTCTGCTTGAGCCCTTGGTATCAGTTCCTCTTTTTTCCCTCACTCTCCTGCCCTCCCACACTCGTGAACCCTTGATAAATTATAGATTTATTTTATTGTCATATCTTACACTATCCACTGTCTCCTTTCACAGACGTTTATGTTCTCATTCTCAGGGGGATGGGCAGTTTTACATTGATCATTGTGATCAATTTTCTCCCCCTACTCCCCTCATCTTCCACCTACTCTCATGGTAGCGCTACTTCCCTTACTGTTCCTGAGGGGGTAATATGTCTTAGATTCTATGTGTCAAGAGCTCTTATCTGTACCAGTGCACATACTCTAGTTTAGTCGGATTTGTAAGGTAGAACTAAGGTCATGATGGTGGTGGGTGAGTGGGAGCACTAACGAACTAGAAGAATATTGTGTGTTTCATGAATGCTATGCTGCACCCTGACTGATTTGTCCCTTCCTTGTGGCCCTTTTGTGAAGGGATGTCCAATTGTCTACAGATGGGCTTTGGATCTCCACTCCAACCTCCCTCTTTCCCATCAATATGATTGTTTGTTGTGGGTCTTCTGATGCCTGATACCTGATTCCATTGACATCTCATGATCACACAGGCTGGTGTGCTTCGTCTATGTGGGTTTTTTTGCTTCCCTGCTAGATGGCCACGTGATTAACTTCAAGCTTTAAAACGACAAATGCTATAACTTCTAACAGCTGGCACCATCAGCTTTTTTCACCACATATGCTTATGCATCCGCTTTGTCTTCAGCAATCATGTCGGCAAGGTGAGCAAAGTATTCTTATATTGAGGGAAAACTTCAGTAGCGGTCCAAATATCCATCAGCTACCTTAATGCTTAACATATAAATATGTGTACATAGATTTATATCCCTATTGTTATATATTAATATATTTACATAAATGCATGCCTCTGTGTATACCTCTATAAATTACTTTTGCCTCCTAGTTCTTTCCTCTGTTTTCTTTTACTTTCCTCCTGACCCACTATCATTTTCAACCTTTATTTGGCGTTCAGTAATTCCGGTTGGCTATATTGAACTTGAACAAACCCCACCAGGCATTCTACATCCTCCTTTCCATCGATTTTAGATCACTTGTTCCCTTCTCCCTGGGCTTGTTGGCTTTCCCCATCCCCCTCTACCCCCAACCCGCATACCCCTCGCCCATGTTACCCTGGAACCATCTATCCCACTGTTTTGGCCTCCGGATTGTTTGTCCAGCCTATTTTATATAGATAAACATGGGGGTGGGGGTAAGCCTATACATAGTTCCATGTCTACATGTTGACCCTTATGAATGTTTTCTGATCGAGTCTGATGAGGTGCCAAGCCCTGTCCCATCTATTTTCAGGATTCCTCAGGCACTTAGTTGCTTTTTCAGCATGTTACTCTGTTTTGCTACCTTCTTGTTTCATCCCAGTGTGGGGAGGTCAGACTAGGCACAATTCACACACTGTGATTCCAGTGCTGTCCCCATAGTGCTATGGGTTGATGAGGGAACATTGTGTCTCCTTGTGGTGTTGGCCCTATGGAGGATCCATTATTCTTACATGATTAACCTTTGAGGTTTGTTACTGATATTATCTGGTGAATGGGAAAATTGTTAACCATATTTGATCAATAATTTTCAAATCATATCCACATTATGCTTTGATTTTAACTTTGACAATTTCCTTTTTTATTAGTGTAGAATTAATTGTAATGGGAGCCAACAAGGAGAGTACTCAGAAGTGTAGGGAATATGTAGAAGACACAGGAATATGTTAGTTGGCATGACCAGTGGCACAGCTTCTGATATAGGAGAGATGCAGGGTGGCGGGAGGAGGATCAGGAATGGAGTTGGTGTAGAAGGGGAAAAGGGGTGGCCACCTTATTGTATTGCCCCACACTCAGGAAACACCTTTAGACTCTGGAAACTCCTACTTACCCCGACTCCCTGAAGATTCAGCTTCTGGCCCTAGGGGCTCAATCCTTTACTCTCTCTATATTTCTTCTTCCACTGACAGATTCTCAGATAGAAGAGATGCTCAGGACATGATTTCAAACAATTATACTTATGAATGTACAATCTTTGCGCTCCCTATTCCTCCCCTTCCACAATTCTTGTTTGAAACATAATCTTTGGTTTCTCTCTTCTTCCTCTTCCCTCTTCCTGGGCTGAGTGAGAGAGGGAGAAAGGGAGAGAGAGAACAATGACTTAAGGAAGGGCACCTGACAATACAAAAGGAAAGAACTAGAAAAAGCACAAAAAGAAGTATAGGAAAACAAAGCCTCTCATATTCCTAGGATGTGAGGGCAGGGATTATAGAGAGCAGAGGTGGGGAGGGGAATGGCAACTTGTGTTCTCTGCCACCTTTGCCCACCATTCTTAAGACTTCAGTACAACTCAGGGGACAAGTTTTGGCTTCAAGATCAATAGGAACAAAGGAAGAAACAGGAGAACAATTATTAAAACCATTTAATTCCCCTAAGAAAACATATTTTCTACTGCCTTTACTTCTGGAAGCTCCTTAGTTAGTGGGGAAAGGAGAAAGAAACTCATAGGAAGAGGTGGCAGTAAGCAGAGATTATTAGGGGATTTTCCTCCACTCGCTTCCCCTACCAATTGGGATCCTAGCAGGGCTGGGAGAGAAGTCCTTTCCAGCTCAAATGCACCCGGAGCTCCTGAGGGTAAGTCCACAGCTATGGAGGGGCTGCCTCCAGAGGACAGGTCTCACCTGGGCCTCTGTTGCCCAGCTCACAGACCTGGTGAGAGTCCTGGTTGTGCACCTCCACCTAGACTGAAATGTAAGCTGAGCTCTGCTTCTTGTCACCCCTTGACATGGCACCGTCTCCTCCTGTCCTACTGTTTGTCCCTGGAGTCATCCTTCCTGGTTAGCACTGACTCACCACTCTCCTATTTGAATGGGCTTTCTGTCGAGTGCACTTTTCCAAAGTGACTCTTGAGATGATCCGGCCTGAGGGTACAAGGGACGGAGATGAAGGTGAGGGCCCCAAGGGGGAATGGGCACCACAACGGTTCCAGTTTAGCCTCTGCCAAAAGTTCCCTTCATTTTCTCCAAAAGCAAGGGACTTGGAGTCCTCTGGAGACATTATTTTCACTATTTAAAATCAGCACTTCCTTTTGAAATTATTGATATCATAAGGAGCTGGTGTAATATTAATCTGACAAAACATAATACTTTAAATCTAGAATGGCATTAGAAAATTTTTGTATTATATAGCATTTGCCCAAAAAATGCAGCCCCGTATATATGGAAATTCATTTAAATACAATAAAAAAATAAAATTATTTATATTTATTATCTTAGATATGGATTATATATCTAGTAATACGTAAGCAAAATAATATTACATACAATAATGACATTAGAATAAAGTTAAATAGAAGTTTAAGTAGACCAGTGATCATGAAAATGGCACAGAACAAGGCAGATTTGTGTCCATTATGTAAAGTGCTGCATCAATCGGAGCTGACATGATGGCAGCTACAGTAACAGCAGCAGTAGAAGCAGCAAAAATCACCCTCTGTTATGCTGATCCACAAGTGGGACAACTTTTTGCACAACCTTAATCTGGAAATCAATTCTTCAATGAAGGTGGCCATGCTACCATTACCCTTTAAGTTCTCATGTAGAATTTTCATTCAGTTAAGATGGCAAAACAATTGTCTACAAATAATAATATAGCATCACAGTATGTACATGAAAAACCTTGTGAAGATAAAAAAATTTGATAAAATGCTTTCATAATTAAAGTATTTGGGTTATGGCTCATAACAACTGGTGGAACAAGGGCATGAAAAGTAAGCATGAGAAAATTTGGAAACACGTAATGAGGATGGCTGAACAACATGAGCAACAAACTTCATACTATGGGATTGTGCATGTGATGAAGGTTAAAACGGGAAGAGTGTTTGTTACATATACATTTACAGTAGTAAAAAAGTCAAGATATAGAGAAAGTGTGAGCAATGTAGTTTACCAATTTGACCTAATTAAAATGTATTGCATATTATATAATCAACTGAAATTATACATTCTTTTCTAACTCCCATTATAAATTTTCCCAAAAGACTATATGCTGAGCTTTAAGTAAAATCACTACAAAATTCAAAAATCTGTAACCTTAAAAAAAATTACCTTGTATCTCATAATCTCTGTAGACAGGGGAATATAAAAATATTTATTTCTTCATATCTTCGTTTCATGAAGATCCTAGAATGGAACGCTGTGTGGTGAAAAAGTTTCCTTCTTTTGTAAAATAAATAAAAATGAAAATAAGTGTAGCTGTACATCGAATGTTCAGTGCATATATGGCACCATTTAAACCCAAAGGCTTCAAAGAACATAGCCCTATGACTTTCTGTAAGATTGATGTATCAGATGTAAAGACATACAAAGTAATTCTTAGACTCAAAGTTCAAAGTCATATTTGTATCTGTGTTGCCAAAGGAAAGAAAAGAAAGTGGAACAAATTAAGTTGTAGGATTTATTCCATCAAAAATTTAAAAATAAATTTAGAATGATTATATCATTGACATGAACAGACCTCTTATCCATATAAACTACTTTCATAATCTGTTAAAAATCTTTGTATTTGTCAAATATTAATCTAATAATTTTGTGATTCCAGTGTTTTCATATTAATGTTTGAATATTGTTTTTATGTATTTTTTGTTTAATACTACTTGTGTGTTTATAATTAACATGCCATTATGAAGACAGCGTAAGGAAGAGTCTTACATTACTTGTTCTTGGTATGAGATGCCATCAAGTTGGTTCATAGCGACCCTTCATACAACAAGGCAACGGCACCCAGCCCTGTGCCAGTGCCATCCCCACAACTGGTTTTAGGTTTGAGCTCATTGTTGCAGCACTTGTGTCCATCCGTCTGACCTAGGGGCTTGCTCTTTTTCACTGCCCCTCTCCTTACCAAGCCTGATGTTCTTTTCCAGGGGCTGGTCTCTCTGGACAGCATATCCATAACACACTACATCAATTGTAATACTCTCTATCACTAATTTGGACATCTTGTCAGAAGAGACCACTTCCTGGAGAAAGGTGTCATTCTTAGTAAAGTAGAGACACATTAAAAACAAAGAGGGTTGCCATCAACAGGATGGATAAACACCGGGCTACAACAATAGGCTCAAGTGTATGAACCATCGCGAGATGACAAGGGATGAGGCGGGGTTTCATTCTGCTCTGCACAGTGTCACCACGGATTAGAACTGACTCAATGACCCCGAACAATAACAACGTAGGGTTTCTGTGAGTAATTGACTCAATGACAGAGAGTTTTGTTTATTTGGTTGGATGCTAAACGCATTAAAAATAATAATACTCACAACAATAACAACAAAATGGAATTCACTGTCTGCCTGTAAATTTCCGTATAGTTCTGGCTTGTGTGTTACTGGAAATTTTACCACTGGTTTTTAAATGTCAGTACTAGCAGAATCACCCATGGTGAACAGGTATCAGTGGGGCTTCTATAATTAAACCAACTATGAAGAAAAGCATAATGATCAACTTATGAAAATTAGTTAATGAAAATGTCATATATCACAATCAAATATTATTTGATATTACTTTGGACACATCATGAAAAAAATTAATTACTCATTCGAGGAGAACTTCATATTGGTGATATAGAGGCTCACTGAGGATAATGCAGAACTCCGTTGAGATGGATTGGTACACTATCCAAACTGATGGAATTGTACATGCCACTCAATGGGTCTAACTGGGTCCTTTACTGCCTGAGGAATGAAAATGTCTACATCAAAATTAACTTCATTGTGCACTGTACTCCAGTTGTTCTACCTCAGACAATCAAAATTTTAACCTAGTAAATAAATTAATTGTTTGCATAGTGAAATATATATAATGCAATATATGTGATCAACATTTTGTTCAATTTAGTAAATGATGTCTTATCAAGATTTACCTCATGATATTCATCTTAAAAGCTCACATATATATTTATGAATTTTGCCTAATGTGAAGTAGTTCCCTACATTAAAATCTACTTTTATTTCAGTGCCAAAACCTTAAAAATATTTTCCAAAAATTGCTTCTTCTGAGTGTGTGGTAATGGAATGCTCTTGCTTAATGTTATGAGCTTATTAATTAGGCTTTTGGTCATCAACATTTTTCTTGTTGTCTCTATAGGATAAATTAATAATGTGTAACAAATATCATAGAAAATTATGAACTGCATACTATGCAATTTTTTGTAGTGAAAGTAGACTTTGTCATACAGCATGAAAGGTAATACTTATCGTTATTTTTATTTGCAAAAATTTATTCAATAAACTAAATGACAAAAGAAACCCATGGAAGGTGATCACCTTCCATAGAAGGAAAATTCAACTATTTTTTGATAAAATGATGGTTTTTGCCTTAAAAATACTCTGTGATACCCTGAGATTGCAAGACACATATAAAACAGAAAATCACTAGTTCTGTAACTTGGATACAAGGAAATGCAAGGACAAAAGCTGGAAATAGTTCACAAAGAGGCAGGAGTAGGATAATTCTGCCTGGTTTCAAATCGTGGAAGTTGTTTGCCAGTGTTGTACTCTCTCACCATACTGTTCAATCTGCACGCTGAGGAAGAATTATCTATGTGCATGAGAAAGTGACATCAAAGTTGCAGGGAGCTTCATTAACAACCTGTGATATATAGAATACATATAACTTGTTAAAAAAAGAAGAGATTTTAAGCCTTTACAAATGAAGAGCACAAACAAGACTTCATGTACAAAGGTTTGCAAGAGCACAATGCAGTGCTCTGGAATTCCCATGCTTTTAAAGCTATGCATATTTTGCTATGATCCACACAATCAAAAGTCTTTTCAATGTCAATAAAGCACAACTAAACATCTGTCTGGTATTTCCTGCTTTCAGCCAAGATCCATCTGATATTAGCAATGATTACCCTTGACTACAGTTAGCTATTCTATAATCACCATTCTTTGCAATATTATGCATGATTTGCTTTGGTCCACATAGTAAAATGTATATATAGCCAATAAACAGGAAGGATACATCTCTGTGGTAATCTCTAAGTTCAGCCAAAATCAAACACAGCTTAAATTTCTTGCAGTTTATTGTCAATGTATTGCTGCAACCATTTTCAAATTAACTTTACAATTTATGTGTATCTGATATAACTGATAATGTTTAATGATTTCCACATTCTGTTGAATTACCTTTATTTGGAATCAGCACAATTGTGGATTTCTTCCAGGTGTTTAGTCAGCTATCTGTCTTCTGATTTCTTGACATGCATAATTGAATCCTTCCAGCATTTACTCTCTTGTTAACAGGGTATAGCAACAAAATTGCAGTAGTTGAAATAAGAATGGTTTGAAATTGGAACATGCATTTTACTACATGCCCAATATAGTACTTTGAAAATAAAATTCATCACAACATAAATGGTTTATATAATGTATTCTGAAAATGTTAGTAATTCCAGAAAATATTTCACTTACATGAAAATATCTACTGAGAATTGGAAAAAGCATTACATTTTAACATTAGTGTTTTATGGAGGGTCTCGTTCCTTGCCTCCAAGGAGTCACCCTCTAGGGTTTAACGGTCTTCCAGTTTAGATGGTAGATGGCACCAGAAAAGTTGTTACTAAAATTGTATTTATTCCAATCTCCTCACATTATATGTTAACAGAATAAATGTGGTGGCAAGGTCACCTTCCTCTGAGTTAATAATTCACATCATCTTATATAAAAAGAAGATGAAAGAGTAGGAAAAAATTCACATGATGTGATATAATATTTTTAACCTGGGTCATATGGTATTTATATTCCAGTTTTTTTGAAGATGTGACATAGAATGGAAATATACCCATGACTTCATGTAGGTTTATATTGTGGCCAATATATGCATTGATGTGTTGGGGCATCAATGGGATAAGTTGTGAAAACTTCTTCAACATGATTTACTAATGAGTCCCTCCTTGGTCATGGGAAATCAGGACCATACTCTTGAGGGACACCAAGATCAATTGTCACAACATTGTCTATAAACAGTATCGTACATCCTGATTTCAAAAACCATGATTATTGGAGTCTTAATAGTTCACGAGCAGTCATATAAGAGAACTACAATTGCCTTCATATCCCGAGGGAGGGATGTTGAAACTAAAGAATCCATGGAAATAATTAGTCCAATGAATAGCCTATGAAAACATCCATTTCCACAACCTAAGATTAGAAAAATTAGATAGAACCTGGCTCTCATGGCCAACTTCTATGAAACATATCAAATTAGAAGCTTTGGGATAGAGTAAAAAAAATGTGAACTGGAACTTAGAATCCTAAGAGGCCAGGCTTACTGGTCAGATAGAGACTGGTAGGACCTCCACGAGGTACTTACAGGTCTGGAATGGACCTGACCATCATGCTAGAATAATCAACCATTTGAGATCAAAATTCACTCAAATTCAAATTCAGAAGATTAGGAAAGAAGGAGGAATGGAAATTGGAAATGCAAAGGTGAATTAAGATAAGCGATGGTATACTGAAGGAGTTAAAATGACGAATGGAATCAGAATATGTATGAATTGTTGCATATAAAATTATGATTTGCTCAGAAACTTTCACAAAGTTTAGGAGGCCAGAAGTCTTCATTCAGGGCATTCGCTCTAGAAAGCTTTCTGTCGCTGTTGGCACCAGAGGAAGGTTCCACTAGAGTCAAGTGTGTGAAATCGCAAAACAACTGTCCACCTGACTTAAAGAGAATTAACAATGTAATCCATTGTGTTCCTTGAATTATCCGTGAACTTAAGTGGAAACACTCAGAAGCAGGATACATTTATAAAATATTTTATTTTAGATAATTTAATTTTTTAAATTCATTAAATATGAAAGTTGTATTTACCAATTAACGAGGTAAGTATTTTGTGGAGGGAAATTTTACCCCTTTTTATAGATGTAAATATCAAACATTTGTTAAATGAATAATCAACTGGCAGTGTACTGCGAACTAAGACAATATAAGAGCTGTATGTCTGTACATATACACAGCATATACTTATATAATATATAGGCAATAAATTTCATATATGTGTAGACATAAATATATGAATATTTCATTATATATCCTCAATCATAAATTGCTGAAAGAACCACACCAACCTGTGTGATCATGAGGTGTTGATGGGCTCAGGTGTCAAGCATCAAAGACCTAGAACAAATAATCATATCAATGTGAATGATGGGAGTGTGGAGTAAAAATCCAAAGTCCATCTGTAGGCAACTGGACATCCCCTAACAGAAGGGTGACAAGTGAGAGATGAGCCAGTCAGAGTGCAGTATAACACCAATGAAACGTACAACTTTCCTCTAGTTCTTTAATGCTTCTTCACCCCCACTATCATGACCCCAATTTCTACCTTACAAATCCAGCTAGACTGGAGCATGTACACAGGTACAAATAAGATTTTGCAACACAGGGAATTCAGGACAGATTAACCCCTCAGGACCAATAATGAGAGTAGTGAAAGCAGGGAATAGGGAGGTGGCTGGAGAAAGGGAAACTAATCACAATGAAGTACATAGAACCCCCTCCCACTTTTACAGAAAAGTGGGTAAAAGGAGATATTGTTCAGTGTAAGACATGAAAAAGTAATAATTTATAAATGATCAAGGGCTCAAGAGAGAGGGAGAGAAGGTAGGGGAGGGAGGGAGGGAGGAGGAAAAATGAGCTGATACCAAGGCCTCAAGAAGAAAGAAAATGCTTTGAAAATGATGATGGCAACAAATGTACAAATGTTCTTGACACAATAGATGTATGTATGGATTGTGATTAGAGCTATAAGAGGCCCCAATAAAATGATTTAAAAAATAAAATAACTTTAGTCTCAAAGATTTAAGTGAAGGCCATTTAGAATCCTATCATATTCATCATGCAAAAACTATTAACTGTGAATCCCTTTGCTTCATCAATACAGAAGATATTAAAAGGACTAGTAATTAAGAAGAACTCCTGCTTTTAGGATTTGTGCTGTATCTCAGTCACCATGCCTAAGTCCATCCACAGCTCCCTGACACTCTATCTCTTACCTTGGTTGTGCGGCTCAAGTCTATTTTTTCTTTGCTTTTGCATCTGCTGAGTTAGCTTTTCTCACTGTCATGTCCTACGACCGATATGTGGCCATTTGCCATCCCCTCCATTATGGAGCCAGGATGACTTCAGGGAAATGCCACCAGATCTCCGCTATAGCCTGGTTCATTTGTTTTTCCTATGCTACCGTCCACACTGGGAACATGTTTGGGGAGCCCATTTCAAGATCCAACAGGATTCACCAGTTCTTCTGTGACATCCCTCAGGTGCTGGCCCTGGTGTCCTGTGAGATGTTCCTTGTTGAGTTTGTGTCTCTGGCGATCAGCTCATGCTTGGTCGTTTGATGCTTTGTTCTTATGATCATCTCATATTACCGGATCTTCTCGACAGTATTCAGGATCCCGTCAGTAGAAAGTAGAGCTAAAGCCTTTTCCACTCGCTCCCCACAGCTGATTGTCAGCATGCTCTTTCTCACCACCAGGCTCTTTGCTGCCCTGGGACCAAGTGCCACAACTTCATCCATTCAAGATGTAGCGATTGCTGTGGCGTACACAATCCCCCCCCCACTTCTTGAATCCCATCATATATAGTCTTAGAAATGAGACAAAAGCTTCTCTGTGGCGACTCTTTAACAAAATACAGCCTTTGCAAAAGTGAAAACTGGATTTTACTTGGCAATGATCTGCATCAAAAGTTTTGTGTTTTCTTCAGCTATTGACATTAGTCTTAAAACAGCTGTTACAGAACCATCATTTATATCTATGTAAGTCCCATACCGCTTTTGTTGTTGTTTTTAAGCAAAATCTTTATTCATTTCTAACTCAGAAATTTAAGTTAATTACTTCTTTGTTAAAGGATATATACAAATGTTATTCTCAATTTTCAATTATTAAAATGGGTTAGAAAATTTTAAGTAACAGAATAGTGAAGAAAAAATACCTATTACAAATATTTGCTAGTAAGACTACATACAGATAGAAGAGTTGGGGAATCAAAGCAGACAAAACTGTTACATGGTCGTAATGTAAGCCTCCTCAAAAAAAGCGAATTTAGATGCAGATCTGAATAGCACAAATTTTAACTACTACCATTATGATATTGTTCACATTGTGAGATTTTCTGTAGTGCATGTCTACCGGCAGTATCATGGGTAATATTTGACTGCAATAGTCATGGAATTTTTCTCAATGTTATCTTCATCCCCCTGCTACAGTTCTGAGATTTTAAGGCAGCAGTGGAAGCTCCTATAAAGTCTACTGCTGATTACAAAGGCTGCTCTGTTAAACGATAAAGATGTGACCAGTTTGGGTCTGCACATTGCACAGTTTTGTGACGTTTTGGAAGTGTTTCATATTTTACAGAGCAAACCAAACTACTAACTTGATTAATTCATCTACTAATGGTACTAACATTAATGTTAAGAAAACACATAAAAAATGGCTGCTTTAAAAGAAAGTTTTGTTTTTGTGTGTGTTGTGTTTCATTCTTAGAGTAATGTTTAAGTTCTTCTCATATTTTTTATATTCCAAAACTATTTAAATAATAATCTATTCTTAATATACTCAATTGGCCACATTCATACACTTGTGTCTGCAGGCTATTTTTAAGATGTTTATTATATTTTCCATACTTTAAAAATAATAATTTATTTGCTTTTTCTAAATTATTTCAATGTAAATTACAAAGTTTATACATTCAATAAATTTCAACTTTTTTCCTAGATTCTGAGTGCATTAGTATTTGAAATAATGGCTATGACTTTCCTTCAGACACTTTGTTCTCAGATCCAAGCCTCCAATTATCTAAATTTCCAAAGTATATTACTAATTGATATTGTTACAGAAATGCATTTGGATATTTTATGTATTTGTTTTTAAATATATTTACAGAAAAATTCACTTTAAAAATTTTATTGTTCTATGAGTTTTAACAAACTACTGGCATGATCTAACCACACTCACAAGTTAGATAACAGCAGTGTATTACCCCCAAATTATCTTGTGCTGCACATTTGTTGTCAGTCCCTTCCTTGATTACAATCTCTAGTTTTCTTTAGCATACTAATTATACAATATGTCATCTCTTGAGATTAGCTTATTTCACTTAATAAAATGAAAAAAGACAATCACACATGTTGATCTGTATGGTCTTGCGTTTGTTGCTTCCATATTTACTTATTTGTCTGTTGTTTGTTTGCTTCAGATGAAATTGTTT